CAACACAAAGAGACAAAACAACACAAAGAGTCAAAATGAGCGAGAATACGAAACGTTACAACAAAGTTTTCATGAACTCTTGAAAACGTTTGTGTTCTTCTGGACTTTATCTTCCGCTGGTTGTCAGTCTCTGAGATCAAACCGTCTCCTACATCATCGACACTATAAACACGAGTCAGTGAGGAGGTCAAAGGTCACAGCAGTGAGTGTTTGTACGTGTTGGGAGTCATTCAGTGGTTTAATGTTCATCTTCAGTCAACACAACAAACTGTATGAAGATCATAAATATGAAGTTAATATCATTTTAGCCATAACGTTATCAATAGCATTTAAAGGAACTGGCTCTTCATTAACTTTGAACTGATGTTTACAAATACAGCAGCTCCTCTTTAACCGTATTCTACTTGATCTCTTATATTAGAGTACACAGAGTACACAGAGTACACAGTTTGAAAGCAGCTTTGTTTAAAACCGTCCGGCTGGTTTACATACCACGTACACGCACACACACACACACAGACAGACAGACACACTCGCACACACACAGACAGACACACTCGCACACACACAGACAGACACACGCACACACACACACACACACACAGACAGGCACAGACAGCATCAGTTTCCTGGTCTTGTGGTTTTGATCCGTGGTGCCTTCAGGTACCGTTTGCCTCAGAGTCATACAAATGGGATATCAGTTATTATTTCAGGAAGTAACTCACTGAGACAAACTGCCTTCAAACATTTAGTAATGTGCTGCCACAGAGCTCCAGTCTGAATGTCTGCATTAAGTATTTATGTTTAATATGTATTTGTGTGTCAATAACTGGTGTGTATTTCGATATATTCAGTGAAAATACTCTGTGTGTACTTCATAGTAAGCCTGCTTAACACTCTCATGGGCAACGTCGGCAACAACTCCTCGGTGGCCAGGGATCTGCTGGTGACGTGTTTCCACAACGACGATGCGTTCAAGTACCGCGCCTACACCATTACCTACCTGCTGCTGTTTCCTGTCGCCATTCTCTGCAACATCGGAGCGCTGGCAGTCTTTTTCCTGCAGGGAAACCGCAGGTCTGTATCTCCATTTTTGTGAGGTCCCTCCATTGACTTCCATTTAATCTTAACCTTTATCATTACAACATGCAAACATGTATCTCAAAAGAGACAAAACGGAATGGAAATCAGCCTTGCGGCTGTAATTGGGTGCATTTACATTTTAATTTAAAGTGTTCATCAATGTACATTGTCCCTCTTGAACAAATAAAAACTAAACTAAATCTATCTATGTGAGGTCCCTCCATTGACTTCCATTAATTCTTAAGCGTTATCATCAAGACATAAAAACATGTATCTCTATCTTGGGAAGTTTCTCCATTGACTTCCAGACAGCCAGGAGCATGCTGGGTAGTGGAGTAGCCTCAGGTCCTAGCCTGGTTAGCAGGTCTGTCTGGTTAGTCGGCCATTTTAAAAAGCTGCATTGTTTCTCTCTTCAGGAAGTTATTATCTTCTTGTTTTTCTTTCTCAGCCGATTGAAGAAGAACCTGTTTTTAATCCCTCGGATGACGTCATGTAGTTTATTGTTGTTGTCAGTGCATCAGAACGAGAGGTTGAGGATATGAACTATTAAACACTGAGGTTGAGGTCAGACCTCGCTGTCACATCACTGGAACTGATGTTCATTAGTTTCCCACATTCAGAGATTTGAATAAGGTGCAAACATCACATCTTAACTGAGCATGAACAATATTCCATCAGAGGAGATGCTGCATCATCACTCTGAACTTAGCAGTGATGATGTCATTGAACAGCTGACCGTTCGTCCCTTTAACTTGTTTCATATTGTCTTGCATTTAAAGAGTTATAAAACTAATTATCATAGAATAATAAAACATCCGTCTTTTAACTTTAGAACCTTTTTGTAAATTATGTTTTTATATTTGGTGCTTTTTTTTATAATTTAGTTGATCGATCTTTATTTTCATTTTTCAACAACTTTTCATTTTTTGAAAATAAATAAATAAAACAATAAAAAACAGTTAATACGTTTTTTATTGTTTTATTTATTTATTTTCTTAAGATAGAAATGTTATTAAAAGTATAATATATGACAAGATAATAATACAATATTTTTTTAAACTTTATCACATTTTTATGAACATATTTTTAACTTTGTTATAATTTAATTAATTTATTTAATATTTCCTTAAGTTTGAATGGTTATAAACATATATTATATGATAGGATAATATTACAGCATGATCTTTTTTAACTTCATAACTTTTTCATTTTATATTTTCTGATTTTTTTAAAACTTTCTTTTTACTTCATTTTCTTTTATTAAATACATATTTTTACATGACTTTATCACCTGTTTCATTTTTATACATATTTATGTCTATATTTAACTCCATCAACCTTTCATTAATATTGTATTAATAATAATACAATAACTTAACTTAATCACCATTTTATAGACTATCTTTTTTAACTTTATAACTTTTTTATTTAAATTGAAACTGTTATGTTGACATTTTATCTTCACACAAAGCTAATAATACTTGAATACAATAATAAAAACTCTTCCAGGAGTCTAACATTTGTCACAGAACATAAATAAAACATAAAAGTGTGTTCTTCCTGTTTCCTCCCCAGAAGCTCCGCCCCCTGCGTGGTCATGATGAACCTCGCCCTATCAGACGGGAGCTTCTCCCTCACCCTCCCACTGCGATTGGCTTATTACTTCAGGGGCGGAGTCTGGGACTTCCCTGATTGGCTGTGCCGACTGTGCGTCTTCGGCTTCTACGTCAACTTGTACACGAGGTAACCCACACACACACACACACATTGACACACACACACACACACACAAACAAACAAACACAAACGCACACATTAAAATATGACTCTTCCTCCTCAGCATCCTCTTCCTCACTCTACTGAGCGTGCTCCGTTGGCTCGCTGTGAATCATCCTCTACGTCACCGCACTCTGGTCACGCCCCTTCGAACCCTATTGGTCTGTCTAGGAGTCTGGCTGTTTGTGGGCGTGTCCTCTGTCCCCTTCCTGATTGGTGGGGTGACGTACAGGTGAGACAGAACTTCATTTCATTCTTTTTTTTATTTTTAATACTTTTTAAACTTTTTTTATTTCATATTTTCATACTTTTAACAAGTAATTAATAATATATTATGTTATGTATGTTAATACAGTATTATTTTTAAACCTTTTTGTAAACGTAATCTTTTTAACGTCATTTAATTAGTTTTTTCGTGACTTAATTATTATTTTATTCATATTTAAAGTATATATATACATTAATACATTAACAATTAAATGAAAAAAAAGTACAAAATGATTTTTAATGTGTTCACAACCTGGTTTTATTCTCTTCTCTGACCTGGAGGAGGCGCAAACGTACTTCAGTTTATACTTCATATATACTTTGTACTTTTGTACTTTTTAACAAGAAAATATTGTAGTTCTTGCTCCTCTGAAGATACTACCTTAAGATACGCAGTTCACACATGTGGCTGTAATGATCTGTTCAGCCTCCAGGGGTCACTAGAAACACGTTGGTCTCGTAGTTCGACTCTGAATTGAGAGAATTAAAATGATGAAATCACAAAATGTTACTTTAGGACCCAACTAAAGCTTTGTTCTTCTGTTTCTTTACCTATTATCTATTGGTTCCCTTAAGGGCGGGGCTTCCTCGTTGCTTCGAGCCTTCTAGCCCCTCCTCTTGGGTAACTGTCCTGATCCTGAACTACGTGGCGTTGGCTCTGGGCTTCCTCCTCCCGTTCCTCACCATCATTGTCTGCTACAGCCGGATTGTCCGCCACCTCACGTCCCGCTTCGACGGCGACGGCGGCGGCGGTGGCCGGTCCGCCGCCGCCGCTAGCCATCGTCTCGACACGCGGCGACGCTCGGTGCGCCTGGTGGCCATGGTGACGGCAACCTTCCTGATCTGCTTCCTGCCCTACCACGTGGTGCGGTCGCTGCACCTGCACGCCGTGTGCGGCGGCTGGGACTGCGGCGTCACGGTGGCGCTGCAGCGGGCCGTGGTGGTGACGCTGTGCTTGGCGGCGTCCAACAGCGTGGTCAACCCGCTGCTGTACTACTACTCCACCGGTGCGTTCAGGGACAACATGAGGGACGCCCACTCCTCTCTAATGAGGAAGGGGTCCATGAGGAGGAACACCACCTGATGGACCCCCTAAAACCTGAACCCTGAACCCCGAACACTCAGGTAACTCATGTCACCTGGTAGGTGCTTGAGTGCGAAGGGCTGCTCGGGCTCAAGTACTTTGTGACACGTCACGTTAACTTCACAACGCCAAAACATTCTTTTTACTTTTTTCACAGAGAGACGGACTTCTTGAAGGAATATTTGAAAAATCATCATCAGGATAAGATCAGAGGACAAACAACCAATGAGCTACATGCAAACTTCACATGTTAACCCCTGTGTTTAACGTCACAACGCTATGAATTGTGGGTAATTCCCCATGTCAAAGTCTGTAGAAATGCAGAAAAATGTGCATTAAGGGCTCAAAAAGGTCTTTAAGCTACTGATGGGACCAGTAAACCTAAAACACAGCATCATGGTTCATGTAATAGTGTTTATTATATAAGCTTTAAATGTATTTAATTGTATTTAAATGAAAATAAATATTTATAGCTAATGAAGTGTCACTTTTCTGTCCTAAAATAAAGAGGAAGGTTCATGGGTTGTTGAGGAGGGTTCATGTGTTGTTGAGGAGGGTTC